TAAATCTGGCAGGCACACTATGTACTTTTTCAGACTTGGCAGGGCCACTTGGTGCACATGTGCTATATACCTCCCATCACTTTACCAAGCAGGTCCTCCAGTGCTATCAGTTGAAACTTGGTCTACAGGTTTGCGGGGGATTGAGGTACAGATCAGACTGACCAGTGCTGCCTGTTAACACCCGGTCAATACAACACCTGTGTGCATTCAATTTGTGCTCCAACACATGTACAAAAGAAAATCTAGAAAATGGTGAGAGAATACTATTGAAGTAGTCATATTCTGGTTAACTTATCTTAACCTTGTATTTTTTATTTTTTTAAAAATCTGTATTTCATATATGTCTATAGTTTTAAATTGTGCAGTGCTCTCATATGAATAAAGAAAGAATGTTCAGCTTATAACAAAAGAATTTGGTTCCCTTAGAAGCTATTTGGGTGAGCTTTTGTGGAGTATAGTCCACTTCCTCAAACATATGAAGCAAAATAGTTAGGCGACAGGTTTATTATATTCTTGAGAGGACATGGTAAGAGGTGAGAGCCTGGGAAGATGAGAAGGAGGGTGTCAATTACATTGATAATGGGATTTCAAAATGACCATAAGACACACTTTTTCCTCACAAAACAGGGGGATGGAAAGTCTGTGCATCTTATGGAGCGAAGAAAACAGATTATATTTTCCTGTTTTCTTCTCCTAAAAAATTGGTGCGTCTTATGGAAAGGTACGTCTTATGGAGCGAAAAATACGGTATATCAAGAGAAATAACTTTTTTTTGTTACAACTGTAAACAAGACTGGATGAATCTAGAGTATTTATTTATGTGTATCATGTGTGCCAGAAATTCTTGGGCCTTATTTAATCCTTTCACTTACATTGGAATCTGTGTCTATAGCACACTTCATGTGCTTCTCTTCCAAATCTTCATAGAATAATAGAATAATGAAGTTGGAAGAGGCCTATAAGTCCATCAAGTTCAGCCCCCTGCTTAATGCAGGAATACAAATCAAAGGATATCTGCCAGGTGGTTGTCTAAGTTTATCTTGAATGCCTCCAGTGTTGGAGCACTCACCATCTCTTGAGGTAATTGGTTCCACTGTCTTACTTCTCTAACAGTTAATACGTTTTCCCTGATATTCAATTGAAATCTGGCTTCCTGTAATTTGAGCCCATTGTTGTGTGTCCTGCACTCTGGGATGATTGAGAATCAATCCTGCCCCTCCTCTGTATGACAGCCTTTCAAATATTTGAGAAGTATTATCATATCACCTATCTGTCTTCTTTTCTGAATGCTAAAAATGCCCAGTTCTTTCAGTCTTCCTTTGCAATTCTCTTCAGAACAGTCATTCAGAGATCCATAACAGAATATCGTTGGAGAGTGAAATATTCCGAAACTGGTTTCTCTGGGTTCTGATGTCAAATTTATGTTCCTTTATTCTGTTGAGTAGAGATTGTCCTTTTTGCCGTATGAAGAATGTAAAGGGGAGCCCTGGTGGTAAGAGATGGGTAAGATCACATTCGCAAATGTGAACAAGTTAACAAACCCTTGACATTGTGGCTGATGTTGTTGGGGCCTGTAACAGCGCTGCGAGAAAAAATGTGAGGATAGAATTGGCATCGTGGTGTCTGGTTCCTTTCTCAGTATCTGAAATATATGGTCTATTGTAGGTCACTAATTGTTTAAATTTGAGGGAGTGTCTATAAGCAAGTGCAAGCTGTCCTCTTTCCAGAGTCTGGAAAGGGAAAAAGTTGTCAATAGTGGATTGTAAATCATTGATGGTACATTTGGGTGATCTTGATTGGGAACTGCAGGTGACTTATCAATGATACTGCATCATCTTCTCTTTTAGCAGAATGTTTTGGGATGCCAATTGTGTCCTGTCATTTTATTTTTCCACTTTTTAAGTGGGTATTGTCATTTAAGAAATTCCTGCAGGGCAAAGAAGCAACTATTGTGCTCCATTAGTTTGAGCAAGTAATGAATTGTAATAAATGGAAGCTCACACTGAAATAAATCTGGTAGTCTTTAAGGTGCCACAACTCTTTTTTTTATTTTTGCTATACATGCTGAAACAGATTAACATGGCACCTCTTGGAAGACTCCATCTGCAAGAAATCTTTAATCACAAGGGTGCTTCACGTTGTCTCTCAACCACCCTGCAGTGCTTGTACCTTAAAGATGGCTACACATAGTGGAAATTACCTAGTTAAATATGTTATTCACATGGTCTGCCAGTGCCTTGTCTTCATCTTGTTAGTCTCTTGATTAGAAGCTGGTTTATAGTCCAGGTTAATTTTTTTTTTTAAAAAAAGGGTTACCAGGTGGCTTTGAGGAGCTGTAATTAAGGTGAGCATTCTGATCCATATACAAATTTTCTTTTTGAACTTCATGTAGCAAGAAGAGAAAGAACAACAAATTAGCATGACAGTTATAGTGCTATGAGCTTATAACTTTGCTCAGTTGATTTTGCTTGAATATATGAAGCATATGAAGAATTGCTTTTTGATTAGATGATTTCTCTTGAGTTATAGAGTTCTTCATATTTGTCTGCTTTATCTGAAACTTTATAACTGTGAGGGGATCAGATGTGGCTAATCTGCAGAAGAAAAAAGGGGTGGCCATGTACCAGCATGAACAATAACTCTTCAGCTTGATGTAATATATGAAGTGGCTACAGATGACCAGTTACATTAGTTGGCCTAATTCCCCAGCACATGTTTTCATTATACATTGAAACCTTTGCAGTTAAATAGCCATTCTGAGTACAGTGGGGTCTCGACTTACGAACTTAATCCGTATTGGAAGGCAGTTCTCAGGTCGAAAAGTTCTTAAGTCGAATCTGCATTTCCCATAGGAATGCATTGAAAACCATTTAATCCATATCTGCTCTTTTCGACCATAGAAACTAATGCGAAGCTGCTATTCCTCGTTCTGCCACTAGAGGGGGATTTTTTTTCTTTTTTCCTTTTAACCTAAGATGACTTAGCTTTAAAAAAAGGGGGGGGGAAAGAGTTTGTAACTCGAATCTAAGTTCGTAAGTCGAGTCCATATATTCCTATGAGAGCGGTTCGTAAGTCGAAACATTTGTATGTCGAGCCGTTCGTAAGTCGAGACCCCACTGTATAGAAGTGCTTGCAGAGTCATTGAGAAGCTTAGTTTGTAAACATGGGATATTTGCCTTTGTCAGTGTCCTAGCTGGTATTTTAGCATTGTTGTGTATCACTTTCTTTATCTGGGTATTCCAGTTTTCTAATTTAGATTTTTCCTTTCCAAGCATTCATTTTTAAAAATTTTAATTTACTACCATCTGTTAGCTACACCGTTACTAGTTCATAAAGTATTTTTGAAAGACACAGTGTTCAGCCACCTCTGTGTTTGGTTCACCAAAAGCAGGCAACTATGTTGTGGAGAAGATTCCTTTGAGCCAGAAGTTTATACAGTGCCCCGTACCTTGCATGCTTTCTATAAGGTGGTATGAAAATATTGAAATAAAGTACAAGTCTGTAAAAAAGAATGTCAGCTTCTCAAACCTAATTCTCCAGCAAGTGTGTAGACAGTGATTCAGAGCAGCTCTTTATCACTCTATAAATGTGATTTGTCACCTCACATTTATAAGCAGCAGATAGGAATACCTATTGTATAAGGCAATGAAAAACCAATTTGCAGTAAACAAATACTTTTTTCTACATTGAGCAGAAAAGATTTGGCTTACTCTTTTATTGCAGTGTGCTAAATGTTCCTCTGGTTTTTTCCTACTCAAAAGTACTGACTGATTCAAAAGAAATACTTTCTTCCCTGTGAGTACTTGTCTTATCCGTGATTCTGGTGCAAACACTTGATTTCTTTCTTTAATAATCCTTTTGTCCATTATGATTCCTTCTACCTCATGTCATTACAGGAGTTATGGAATGCACATTACATATGTGTAATATCACAAAATTACATACCCAATCACATATAACACTTTTTTGAAATGGTTAATGGAAAATAAATACCATTGAGAAGAGAGAAGAGAGTACTTCCTGTACAGTTATGTAACAAGCATAACCTTTCAGGGTTCACAAAACAAAGAATGATGGAACCTTAATGATTCACAAAAACAAACTGGAGGAGACTATTTGATTCTGACCACGTTTTTCTTAAAATGAGGGCCATTTTCCAATTCAGACCTAGTCTCTTAAGTATTTCTTTCCATTCATTTCTAATTGGGAATTAGCTTAATAGGCAATAACTGTTTCTATTCAAATTCATGTAGTCTTAGTTTTAATTCGCTTTGAAAGAACTGAAGATCTTGATTACTGCATTACTTTGTTTTCTGTTTACATATGTTTTTTTCACAGTCTGGTATACAACTATAGAATAGGATAATGCTATCAATCTGGCAGATTGCTTGTTCAAAAATAGTTGTTACATAGAATCATGGAATAATTGAGTTGGAAGGGGTCTATAAGACCATCAAGTCCTACCCCTTGCTCAGTGCAAGAACCCAAGTCAAAGAAGATCTGACAGATGATTGTCCGGTTTTCTCTTGAATGCCTCCAGCTTGTGGAAGACAAGTCACATGAGCTAGTTTGTATTTCAGCCAAATTATAGATTTGGAGAGAAGGACATGTTTCAGAGAAAATGAACGAGAGAGAATTTGTAGAGTTGATTACAGTTACCGAGATGTGTTCACTACTGTTTCCCTATTACTCTCTGTCTGTGGGGTTTTGAGCTGGTATGTGGACCTAGCCCACTTGATTTCTATACGTCTGATTGACCCTTAGATTAATGAGTTTGGGTCTGGGAAACACATATTTGGATCCCTGTTTGAAGATTGCTTGCTGACCTGTGGGAAAGTATCTGTATCTTTCTCTTGTAGTTTAAACTGTTTTATGTTAAACCAGATAGGCTAGAATGCTCCATTAATCTTATTTAAAATACATAAATTAGAAATGAATGTACCTGTGATCAATGACTCAGCCTGTGTGTGGATTACTCAATCTGATTTAATTTCTGCTAGGAACAAGAGTTTGTACAAAAGCAGCAGCAGGAACTGGATGCCTCACTGAAGAAAATAATTCATCAGCAAAAAGCAGAGCTAGCCACCATTGAAAGGGATTGTCTTAATAACAAGCAGCAGCTCATGAGAGGTATTTTTCCCTTGATTGTTGGATTAAATTTTATTTAATGTATTAGGTAGCCTGAGCCCTTAATACGTTAAGGGCTCAGGCTGTCTAATACATACAAGATCCATGAAAATTAGTAAAAATATTTTATGGAGTAGTGTCCTGATTTTTTTATTGTTCAGTGAAAACAGAAAAATCCAGTTAGAAATGCTCAGAACTCTTTATTAGCATAATAATAATAATAAAAAAGTGAAATCCATGTGTAAGTTTTCTGAGATTTTTTTAGTGCAGTCGAGCAGTGGTCCTCAATCTTGGGCCAGCAGATGTTCTTGGACTTCAGTTCCCAGAAATCCTGGCCAGCAGGGATGGTGGTGAAGGCTTCTGGGAGTTATAGTCCAAGAACATCTGGAGGCCCAAGGTTGGGGACCACTGATCAAGAGAACTAGAGTGAAATTCAGTCAAGTGTTTGGTCAGGTAACTTATTTGGAAATAATTTATTTGGATAGTTTTCTCTATTTAAATGTTTCATGTTTCATACTTACAAGAACTGAGTAGGAGTGTTGACAGTAGGACAGTCATTCATTCATGGAATCATCATAAGTGATAAGCAGTTTGGTGCCACATAACACAACAATTTTATGCTATACTTCATAAAACAATAGTTTGCCTAAAAAGTATTATATTGTATAAGGAATGTATTCTGGAGTGACTTTTCTCAGCATTTTTAAAAACTGTATAAATAGCTCACCATTTTCAAGTTGTGTCAATTCATGTTTGTTAAAATAGTTCAAGCTTTCAGTGACAATATCCTGTGCTATCTTCATCAGGGAAGGCAAGATATCAATTCAAACAAAGCTAACATTAAATACCTCCAGGTACAATCAAAACCAGCTGGGTGGTTGATGGAATTTGGCTCAAGTTTTATCAAGACACCCTCAGTAATAATTCTTTTCCAAAATTGACTAGTTTGGGCCAATAGCACTTCATTCCATTGGGGATGATGACCATATTTGATAACAATGCTGAGCCAGTCCAGTACATATACATATATGTACTATAAATTATTTGATTATTGATAATTGTTTAGTTTAATTGTATATTATTTTTTTCTTTGTTACTTTATGTTAAATTTTGATATCACTGTATTGTTTAATTGTATTAATTTGGCATTTTCTTTGGGTTTCTTTTCTTTGCCTTGCGCTCCCAGCGAGGGGCCACTGAACATCCGAGTGATTATGGGTAGAGGGATTAAGGATAGAGGTGCTGGTACAGCTGCTACTCGTGTTAGCAGAACGGCGAACAGATGTTTGAAGGCTGTTCACTGTTCTGGGACTGTGACCAGCCGTCAGTATCAAGGTAGCCAGATCAGCTGATTCTCCACTCCAAAACTGGTGCTGTTGAATGCCAGGTCTGTACAGTCGTGCCCCGCTTTACGATTACCCCGCATTATGATGACTCCACTTCACAACGATGTTTTTGCGATCGCAAAACAATGGTCTAAATAGGGGAATTTCGCTTTGCGATGATCGGTTCCCTGCTTTGGGAACCGATACTTCGCATTACGACGATCTTTACACATGATCGTTGGGTTTTCAGAATGGCCGCCGGGTGATTAAAATGGCTCCCCGCTGTGTTTAGGGACGGATTCCTCGCTACAGGCACCAAAAATGGGTGCCGTATGGAGGATCTTTGCTGGACTGTGAGTTTTTAGCCCATTGGAATGCATTGAACGGTTTTCAGTGCGTTTCAATGGGCTTTTTAGTTTTGCTTTACAATGTTTTCACTTAACTGCAATTTTCCTGGAACGGATTATCGCCGTTAAGCGAGGCACCACTGTATCTAAGAAATTCCAAATTATTTATGATCTCATTCTGGAGGAGGATGCAGACCTGCCGTGCATAACGGAAACTTGGATGGGCGGGGAAGGAGATCCACCCCTGGCCCTTGCCTGCCTTCCTGGTTATGCTGTCCAGCACCAGGGCAAACTGGAGGGGCGGGGAGGGGTAGCCATTGTATATAAAAATACTCTGGAGGTTACTAGGCGCTCCACAATGGTGAAACGGGATTTGGAGGCCTTCCATGTATCGGTAGGGGCCATAGATTGTATTGGGATTTTGCTGGGTTACCGCACTTCCTGCGACCCAGTCATTTCCTTACCAGAGCTGGTAGACTTTGTCTCTGCGGCACTGTTGGAATCCCCGAGGCTTTTAGTCTTGGGTGATTTCAACATCCATGCGGAGGCAGAGATTTCTGGTCCAGCTCTCGAGTTCTTGGAAACCATGGCTTTCTTGAACATGTCCCACCATGTTAATAGCCCCACTCACGTGGGTGGTCATATGCTAGACCTGGTTTTCTCCACCAATCGGAGCGAGTGTGGTCTGATGGTGACCGACCTTGTGTCGGTTCCCTTGTCATGGACAGATCACCACCTAATAAAATGTAACCTCTCAGTGGCTCTCCCTCCTCACAGGGAGCATGGACCTACTTTAATGGTCTGCCCTCAAAGGCTACTGGATCCTGTAGGATTCCAAGATTCCATGAAAGGGATTCCGGCTAATCTGACTGTCAAGGATCTGGTTTACTGCCGCCATCGGGGCTGTAGACACGATTGCTCCTAAACGCCCTCTCCAACACAGAGTTTGCTCTGTGTCCTGTTTCAGTCAGGACCTATGAGCAATGAAGCAAACCAGGAGAAGGCTAGAGTGCAAATTGAGATGGAGCCCGATGGTTTACAACCAGAAAGCTGTCAGGATTGCAACTAACCTTTACCTTGCTAAGGTAAGGGCTGCTCACTGACCGGGTAAGCGAAGCTTCAAATCAGCAGGAGGAACTTTTCCATATAAAAGTTCAGCTTGGGAAGAGAATTTTGGCCCCGTGGAGCCTTAGTTGTGGAGTTCTGCAGGGTTCGATTATCTCCCCAATGCTGTTTAATTATATGAGGCCGCTGGGTGGGGTCATCGGGGTGTGGGGCATTGTGCCATCGGTGTTATCTCCCCAATGCTGTTTAATTATATGACGCCGCTGGGTGGGGTCATCGCCGTGTGGGGCATTGTGCCATCGGTGTGCTCATGACACTAAGCTCTAGATCTCCTTTTCTCCAACCACAGTGCATGCCGTTCTGTCCCTTCAGTGCTGTTTGGAGGCTGTACTGCAGTGGATGCAGGAAAATGGGCTGAGGCTGAACCTGGACAAGATGGAGGTCCTCAGGGTGGGTGGCCCCATCATTGGCGGTTTGGGAAACTCCCTCTCTTTTGAGGGAGTGACTCTCACCGTAAAGAGTGAAGTTCACAGCTTGGGTATCCAGCTGGGCCTGGCGTTCACCATGGAAACTCAGGTGGCGTCAGTGGCCTGCTTCGCCTATTTCCATCTTTGGCGGATTGCCCAGCCGCATTCCTATCTTGATGTGGGGGCGCTCACCACTCTGGTCCATGCACTTGTAATCTCGAGATTAGACCACTGTAATGCACTCTACATGGGGCTACCTTTGAGATTGATGCAGAAGCTTCAGATGGTGCAGAATGAGCAGCCAGACTTCTCAGTGGGGTGAGAAAACACCAACATATCTCTCCCACTCTGGCATTGGCTGCCCGTTTGCATGCATTGGCTGCCCGTTTGCTTCCGCATCGATTTCAAAGTTTTAATGATTACATATAAAGCCCTAAACGGTTTAGGACCTCTATACCTGGCGGAACGCCTCCTCCCACCTAGATCTGCTCATATCACTCACTCCAGCCAGGAGGGGTGGCTGAGAAGCCTAATGCCGAGGGAGGTCCGGAAAGAAAAAAGAAGACACTGGGCCTTCTTGGCAGTGGTTCCCGTCTTTGGAATAATCTCTCCTCTGAGATCCGTTTGGCCCCTTCGCTGGATATTTTCAAAAGCCAACTTAAAACCTGGCTATTTATTTATTTATTTATTTAACTTATGTGCTGCCCACAATACCTGAAGGTCTAGGCAGGCCTTCCCTCTGGGCACCACTTAATTTATCTTTTTATCCTCCATCTTGAATTACAGTGGTGCCTCGCTTAACGAGCGCACCGCATAACGACGAACTCGCATAGCGATCCGTTTTTTCGGATCGCTAATGCGATCGCTTAATGTTTTTCTTATAGGGCACAATTCGCTTTGCGAAGACCGGTAAGCGTTTCGCTTACCGATCTTTGCAAAACGAAGCCCGACGATCAGCTGTTCGGCGGCCAAAATGGCCGCCAGAAGCCCGGAAATGGCCC